AAATGTTTGACACCTGTCCATTTTTCTTTTTTTTTCCTTTTTTTTCTTTTTCTTTCTTTCCTTCCCTACCCATGCAACTCTCTCTCTCTCTCACTCTCATCCTCACTCTCTCTCTCCCGTTTTGCCTCAAACCAACTGGATTTCGAACCAAAGAAGGATTTCAAGAAGTTTTCAACGCCAAGAGAATGATTCGAGGTAAGATTTCTGAAAAACTTCTCTTGAATCTCGAATTTTTCAGATTTAAAAACTTATTTTTGGTTCGAAATGCATCTTGATGGATTTTGAGTAAAACAATGGTAGAAATTGGAGATCTTGGGTTATTTAGACTTGATTAAGTACTTAGAACCTGGATATAGTGATTTCCCCTTGAGATATTTCGAATTGGAACTGAAATTATAGGTTTTCAGACTGATTTTGGTGAGTTTTCCTCACCATGCTGATTCCACCAGTCGACCGGATTTCATTGCAACAGGTCGACCTGTGCGGTCGACCGAAGTGCACACCACCGGTCGACCGATGGTGTTGCACTGCTCTGTCACCGGTCAACCGGTGTACATGGGGTTTGACCCTGTTTTGCTTGAAAATGCTGTTTTGACCTCAATTTTTTAGGAGAACCCAAATTAGCTTCATTTGGGGACCTAGAATGAATGTACCGGTCAACCGGTGTACATGGGGTTTGACCCTGTTTTGCTTGAAAATGCTGTTTTGACCTCGATTTTTTAGGAGAACCCAAATTAGCTTCATTTGGGGACCTAGAATGAATGGATTAGCATCTTTAATCCATGTTTTGAGATTGAAAACCCTTTGAATGATGATTTGAAACATGAAATGGTTTGTGGAACTGATAATTGAATTATGACACACTAATAGGAAATCGAAGTGTATAATTGGTATTGAATTACTTTAGGAATGAGAATTGGATCCTAAAGTGTGGTTTTGTATCAGTACTAGCTGAGGACTCGGATTGTGGGGCTTTGAGGAAGCGAAAGCTGAAATAGTGCAACGCTAGCCAGGTTTGATATTTGAGAGGTAGGATTCCTTATCCCTTTCTTTGGTAGCCTAATTTTAAAAGAGTTTTGGTCTTACAAGTGTTTTAAAGAAAGGGCATGTTTGCGAAAGAAAAGCATGTTTAAAAAACAATAGCTTGATTTTAGCTATTGGTATTATAATGAACTGTTTCATAAAGTTTAATGAATGATTTCTTAAGACAAGAGATCTTGTGAATCGCTAAACCGGCTGATGGCCTAGATAGGATGTGGAGAGTGCATCCTTGGGGGCAGAACCTGAAACCCGGTCTGGGGGTGATAGGCTTGTGCACGTGGTTGTGTAAGTAATTTATCATAGTATAAATTACTTGTTGATGCCTGTAATACATAGATTTTCAGTTATATTTCCTTTCAGAAAAAGGATGTAAGGTTCCGGTTGTTGTGTTGGAACTGAATGTCTATATTTATTTCATTGCTTATTCATTTATTTATTTACTCATTCATTTATTTACTATGTTTTACAAAAGTATATCCTACTGGGCCTTTCGCTCACGTTTTTATTTATTTTATAAATATTAAACCCCTCCCAGGTGACTCTAGGAGCAGTGCGGAGTAGCTGAGTTAGATTGCTATCACCAGATTTGGTGAGGATTGTGATCATCCTCCCTGTGTACGAATGTAGGAATTGCAAATTCTGTAAACTCTGAATATTTGGATTTCTAGACTGTGGTTGATGTCTGTAATGTTATTTACATGTTCATGTATGTACAATATTGAAGATCCTGTGGGTGTAGCCCTGAGTGATGTTAGAGGTTCGAGTTCTAGCCTCTTCCTTGGAATCTACTTTTCAATTAAACGGGAGGTTTGTTTAGGAATTTCTTTAATATCTTATTCTTAATCGCGTTTAACCTCTAAACGAGCCTCCACGTCACCGACCCCTGTCCCGGGGCGTGACAATACGTATATATGTTAGGAAACTAATTCTTGTGTCTCCTTATTCTTATCTCTTTTCATGTCCTCTAATAATATTGTGACACGTAAATTAAAATGTCACGTTAATTAAAAAGTCAAGACGTGACATGTTATTAGTGTACATCAATAAAGCATACTTTAATAAGAAGGGTGTTTATTCCATCATACTAAAACAAACCAAGTAATAAATAATTGAACTACGAAAAAGATGTTTTAATTTGTGAAGGTCTTTTTACGATAGGGTCTATATACAATTTTGATATAAATTTAATAGCTGAAAAATAAAATCGTACATGTAATATATTTTTTATTCATGCAGTAGAGTAGCAATTTCCTAATTTTTTATTCATGTAATTGGAGTAGCCTCTGAATTTTTAAAAATTGTAGATAACCGTTTCTTTCTTTGGGTTCTACAATGAAATCAGAAATTACTTCTGAGCTAGCTATCTACAAAATAGAGACAAATCTACTTCTTGATGAGTCAAACCATCATTGGGAATACAAGATTAGCTGAAGTGGAATCTTTCCTTTTCTGTGACATATTATTGTCGTTTCCTTCATCTTCTACCAATATTAGACAAGAATGAAACACCGTTGTTATAATCTATGCAAACACTTGAAACCAAATATGAGGCTCATATAATCTTGTCAATTCAGGAATCGGATTGGCTAGATTATCTGATTATGTGTTTTTCCCCATATTTTTAATGTGTTCACTTTTTAGATAAAATAAAGAAAGAATCAAGGAATGATCAGATGATTTGTTAGGACACATGGAACACATGCACAGGCCATCACGCCGTGATTGCTTCGTCGGTACAAGCTGCAGTAATATGGAACACTAGTTAGTCTTTGGGCCCATTTGGGAGTTCAAACAGTAGAAGAAGAAAAGAATGAGTTAGGACTAGTATTTTAAATACTACATTGGAAAAGTGTCTTTAATATTTCTAGCAAAAACTGCACGTGCATTTATGTCCATTCAATTTTTGTTTTTAAATATAAGTGATTAACTAAATAATAAATGCGTAATAGAAAGAATTAAAAATAAATCATATATGACTTTGGGTGTGTTTAGAACTCGTTTCAAAATGATTTTGTTTTCTGTATGAAAATGAAAATAAAAACGTTTTCATTTTCCTTTTTGAATCATTTCTGAAAATGTGTTTGATAGTTTTATTCCGAAATTATTTTCAGTTTAAAAAAAACTGAAATTGTGTTTGGTGATTTAATTTCTAAAAACATGTAATAATATTTAAAATAATAATATATTAAATATATTAAATAATAATATATTAAATAAATATATTAAATAAACATTATATACATGAAAACTAGTGTGTTATGCTACTACAAAGGAAATGGGTGTGTTTCGGAGAAATCTCTGGAATTTTCCGATCCGGAGCCGAAGAGGCTGCGATCGTCGTCGTCGTCGCCAGAGAAGAAGTCATCGTCTAGGGTCCCGACTCTGGTGAGGTGGAGGAAGGGGCAGCGAGGTCGAGGCAGAAGAGGAGTCCAGCCCGTCGAGATCGGAGAAGATTCTTGCGCGATTCCACCGACAACCCAAGGCTTAGAACAAAGAAGAAGGGGGTCGAGGGGGAACATAGGAAAAATGAAAATGGGAAGGAAAACAATCCTTAATCGTTTTCAGTTTTCCTGACTTTTTGGGAATAAGTAAAAAACGTTTTCAATTTTTATTTTTTAGGAAATGCGGTGCCAAACGCATTTGTGAGAGCATTTTCATTTTTTAGTTCTCGAAAAACGTGAAAAATGTTTTTAAAAATGATTCCAAACAGGCACTTTATTTTACAGAGTTTCTCAAATAATTTTTCATATGTTGGCACGATGGGCGAATTTCTCCATCATAAATTCGTGGTACTCACGGTGCCCCATGTGCCCGATTATTAATTTCATCGTAAGATAAATAATTAATCAATTAATCAACACAACTATATAAACATGGACAGGAAGTTAAAATTAATAAAAGAAAAATAGTTTTGAAATTTTATAGATATTATGTGATATCTCATGCTTAAAATTAAATATTACAACATATTACACATAATATATATAGTTTAATAATAGTAGAGAAAATTGTTGAACTTACTCTTATAGTGCATTGATTTAGATTTTTATCTCTTACTCTTAATTAGTACCCTTTTGACTATATTGACTAAAAAGGATATTATTCAAGAATAAGAGGTAAAAATCCAAACTCATGCATTCTAAGAGGTGTTTGTCTCATTTTCCTTAATAATATGATATAATCAAACGAGGCGATTAAACAAGGAATAGGGTTAAGGACCTCTTACCTTACACTTCGATCCGTGACATGTTAAAATTTAATCCATGTATAACCTGCATCCATTTAAATCATTTTTTATGTCTCGTTTAAGGTGGGTTCCAATGGGTAAGTGAGTTAATGAGTAAAATTAGTATTCCTATACGTTGGCCATGTATGGATACAAAGATGATAAAAAGCAACAAACATAGCCGAGTAAAAAATAAATAATAATTTATGTGATAAATGAATCATTTACCGCGTAAATGGTTTATTTATCGCTAGTAAAAACAATTTGTTTACATAAATTTTCTTTCTACAACTGGTAAAAAGAATTTTTTTCATTCAATTAAAGATTTTTTAAATTTTTTTACCACATAAGTTATTTTTTTGCAAGTCGTAATAAATTATTTACACAATAAATGATCAAATAAACTGTTATTTACTTTAAATAATTTTAAAATATAATATTTATTTAATTTAATTTAAATAATCTTGTTATTTACTACCATTTCCCTTTTAAAATTCTTCTATTAAAAATGCCATTTCCCTCTTCCACCCTTATTAAGGTGCTTCTTACCTAATAAGGCCCAATGGACAGATGAGCCCAAATCATGAGGATCAAAGTGAAGCCAGACAATGAAAGCTAAACGAGATGCCCAACCAACAGTAATCTGGTTACCGGTTTCGGGTCAACACGTGCCAGCTCAGCGTCTCCTCATATACACCGCCAAGCATCGGAAAAGAGACAAGACAACGAAGATGAACTTTGTTTCGGTTTCTTTTCTTTTTGTGGGACAATAAAAGAGGACGAATTACGATATACTCTAATCTTTGGAGAGCAATTCGGATCGGAGAAAAAAAAAAGGAAAAAAAAAAAGAAAAGAAGAAAGAAAGATGAGCGAGGAATCATCGAAGAGCAGAGGAGTGACCGGCGACCAGGAGAGCCAGCACTACGGCACCTTCCAAGGCGTGGCCAACTACTACCATCCTCCTTCTCACCAGCCACCGGCTCAGCCGGTTGTCGGTTTCCCTCAGCCGTTACCGCCTCCCGGCGTAACCGGTCATCCCCGCTACCCTCACGTCCATTATCCTCATGCTTATCAAACCGTCCCTGGTACGCTTCGCTCTCTCCTCTGTTTGTTTTTCTTATTCCTTTAATTACGTAAAATAGATATGTAGATTTTTTTGTGCATATGATATCGAATTGGGCGTTGTTTGGATGATGCTTATTAAATGCATAATTTGTTTTTGATTGTGTTATAGATTTTATTATTTTTTTCCCCTGAAATGATTGTTTATATTAGGTTATCATGGATGAAATTGCATTTTTAGTTATGATACATGAAATTGATCATGATTGAAAATAAATTGACTTTGGATATTAAAGTGGTTAACTTGACATCTTCTTGTGGTGTTTTTTTTTTTTTTTGAAATGGGAGCTATGGTGAGTTATCAATGCTAATTTACACTTTTTTTTTGGGTGCTCTTTAGTGGAAAATTTGCCCTTGTACAATTTATGTGATAGTTTCTGAAATTATCAGATATCATTATTTGGGGGGGTTTCACTTTATCTTATTTGCTTATCAACCCAAACGCAGAGTTCATTTGGAAAGCATTTTTCGAGTTTTCATATATTCGATTTTGTAAAGGTTATATGAATTCATATGCATATGAGAAGTTATCAACTGAGGAATTAGCTTCTTTTTGAGGGGGATATAGAAATTGTAGCGCGCATTTGTTTCTGCTGTAGTTTTAGGTTTATGTCGCTGATGTTTTAAAGAGACTCAAAACTTGACACATTTTTTCGCTGCTAAAGCGATGTTGAAGTTATGATATTATTGTAGTTTAATGTATGAATAATAGCTAAGGCTTGAGTACTTTCTATGATTATATTGAGTAGACGTTTCTTTATTTATATTTAATCTTCATCTTGTTATATTGTTGTTCCAAAGGTTATGCTGTTGTTGAAGGACACCCTGTAAGAGAACATCGTCTTCCTTGCTGTGGCCTGGGCATGGGCTGGTTTTTGTAAGTTTGTCGAGATTTATCCTTTTCATATTCAACTATTGTCATTTGTAAGTCTAGTTTTAACTTTTAAGGGAAACAATATGGGTTTGAGTTTAGGCCCCAATGAAATGATTAAGATAAGCTAGCTCGTTCATCTGCACATTAAGAAGAACTACCCGGTGGTGCAGAACTCTTTGACCCTTAGATGCAGAGGAACTGACATCTATCTCACCTCCACTCCACTCCTTATGTACAATGAATGAGCAGACAAGCGTCTCCTTTGTTTTGGCTTTGAAGAATAGTTCATAAACAAACACATTTATTCCAATACATCTATCCATGTAGGCATGAGAAATGAACTGAAGGAACTTTGTGGTTTTTTTTGTTTTTGTTTTTGTTGTATATTATAAGTGATATGAAAAGACTAAGTTATACTATACATAATTAGTGACTTATATGACCTATGCCTAATTGATGAAGAATGTTGACTAAACTTGGCTTCTTGAGCTTCTTTTTTCTTTTTGAAAAAACATAGTGCTTGTCCAGTTTCTTATTTTTTTAGTCCTTTTCAGTCGTGTTGATTATAGGTCAGTGGTTCTTGAGCACTCAGTTTCGGAGACTGGAGAGTAACTGTTGACTTGAGTTGCGCACCTTAAAGTAACTAAATCTAATGTTAGTCTAATACTGTAGGGTCTATTGATGAAATAGAATTGTTTGATTTCTCATGATTAATTAGCCTTCTTCAAAAAATCATTAACTTGTTTTAGGATAATATGCTAACATTCAAATATCTGACCAAGGCAAATAGGAATATGTTATGGACATTGAACAGCTCTGTTTTGAAGTAATTAAATTATAGCTTCTGCATTTATTGAAAAATCATCTTTAACCATCTTGCAGGATTGTCAAATTTTGTGTTGATTCTCGATGTTTGTCTTTACAAGTATAGTTCTCCGGTTTATCTAGTTCATGTTTATGATTGGTGTTTTCACTGTTTCTTTGGTCAGGTTTTTAATTGGTTTCTTTCTTGGTGGCATTCCTTGGTATGTGGGAGCTTTTATTCTACTTTGTGTACGAGTGGATTACAGAGAAAAGCCTGGATATGTGGCCTGCATGATCGCTGTAAGTATCCTTTATGCTTTCATTTTATTTTATTTTTAACTTGCTACAATTGTTCTTGAATTTCATTTTTCTTTTTGCAACTTAATTGTCTGAAGTATCTTATTCTTTGTAATGAGTCTAATGACAATGAAATTAAGCAAAATGTTTTTTCTGATTCTTTCAACTTTATTCAAAACCCAGTCCTTGTCCTTAATAATAAGTGCATGTTTTTGTAATTTTAACCAACAATACATGCAGCAGTAAAAATGAATTGTTCCTGACATCTTAGTGTATACGGTGAATTCATGCGGAAGGTTCAGTAGCCCTTTAAAGTGGGTATTTAGATATGAGAGAGAATTTTTATGTTAAAATATAGTATCCATTTTTGAATGTCCTTGCAGTTTTCTGCGTGTTGTTATTTCTAGTTTGTGTTTTACTCTTTTTTGTCCGATTATGTTTAAGTTGCACGCTGTGAATTCATGCATAAGCTTCATGGTCATTTTTTAGGTGCTTTTCAAATTTGAGAGGGGGATTTTGATTTATTGTGAATTACATTACACTGGTCATTAATGTCAGTCTCCTATTGTGGATTACTTTGTCGAAATTAAAAATTTAAAGCTAAAAAAAAAAAATAAGAAGAAAAAGAAAGAGAGAGATCAAAACCTTGTTCATTTTGCTGACTACTCATGCGCCAATTGTTTGTTGGTTATCAGAAAAGTGCAGAGAACCTCACGGGCAATTGTTTTATGATTTACTGTGTCAATATGCAATTTCAAAATGATAAAAGTGTCATTCAGTCATACCATGTCGACCAGGAAATTGTATAGTTTTGAAATTGCATATAGTAAATTATACGCCCTAGTCACACTTCTCCATTTCGTGGTCGATCATTATCCGCTTAATTGTGCTGCCAATACCAAGTATTGTTCTACTTCAAACATTGAGAACTTTTTAGATTGTGCATGGTGTGTGGTATATCACATTAATTTAAGATTTCTCAGAAGAAAAAAGTTAAAAAGTGTTCCTATCATCTTACTTTCTCTTAAAACCACGACTGTGTCAATATTATTGATAATCCGTCGTCTGGTATTGTTGCATGCATTTCTATCAATCTGATAGTTAATACGACAGGCCAGTTGATAACTTGACAACTTGATGCGATGGCTGTTTGTTGGAATACTGTTGAATTGGTTTCGTTATGCTGTAGATTACATTATAGGCATTAGGCACTTATTTCGTTTAAGTTGCTGTTCAAATTTTTATAGGAAGAAGGTGCACATACTTGCCTTTTAATTGGAAATGCAATTTTACTGCTGTTTGTGTATTTAAGTTAACCGTTTGTGTGGTCCGAATTTGACCACTTTATGTTTATGGTGTTCCTTTTCTTCTTTATTTTCAGGCCATACTAGCTATAATTGCTGTAACTCTTGGCGTAACGAAGGGAACTCATGCTTGGTGAGCCCCGAAACGGGTTGTGAAGATCATTGTATAGTGCTCTCCGGTTGCCGCAGTGAATATATCAGTTGGTTAAATGTAACTAAACTTGGAGGTTGTCTTGTTTTAGCCTTGTATTTATAAATTCTTGAGTGTTCATAATGTTGTCAAAACACTTGGTTTCTTAATATTCTGACGATGAATTGAGTAGCAGTAGTTGAAAGAGGAGAAAAGGGGCAGAAGCTTTTTGAAGAGAAAGTGGTGTTCTCGTAGGTGTCGCTAGAACTTGTTTACACTTTTTTCTTTTCTTTTTTTTTTTTTTTGTCTGAAAAAAAAAAAAAAAAAAACTAGTTTATCAGTTCCATTCCCAATATCCCATTTGAAAAAAAAAAAAAAAAAAACTAGTTTATCAGTTCCATTCCCAATATCCCATTTGAAAAATAAAAAAGAAACAGCACTTGTATCTTTAAAAATTAAATAAAAAAGAAACAGCTGTCTTCTTTATGCACGAGGCTTGATTAAATTCCTTCAAGGCGTATCGGTAGATACAGATAAATCTGACATGACATCATCAATAATCGAACGGTGCTTTCAAAGATTCTGTATGATTCAATTCATAAATTTTTATTTTGTTATAATGTTTTTTTCTCATATTTCCACCGAAAACATAATTTTGGAGCCCAAAAAAAAAAAAAAATTCCATTTAAAACACAAAAATAGTCATGTATTTGCGTGTGTATTTCCCGGCCAAAAGAAAATTGTCCACAAATTTTGTTCATAGGTTTTCAATTTCTTACCGTGTAAAGTTTATTTATTTATTTATTTTTTGCTGGTCAAATAGGGAATCAGGTGGTCTGCCTCACGTCTCCATTCATACGTCAGGAGTATACCCAAGAAACACAGGGCCACTGAGGAATGGCAAGAGCTTTTAACTATTTTCCTACGGACCATCCACTCAGTTTCTCCACCTATAGCGAGTCCTTTTTTTTTTCTATAAGAACCGGACAACCTTCTGCAGGTATGAAAACTCGAACCCGAACGGATGAATAGAGAAGACCTAGCAAAGGTCCTTAACACTAGACCACAACGCTCTGTGGCGTGTACGTTTATTTCATTACTTGTTATTGAAGGCATGAATTCTACACGCACGTATATATGCATTAGAGATTATTTCTGAATTTGGTAATTCTCTTCACCATATTTCCTCAAACAAGTATGAACAGTGACGTGCTTATCCCTGAACTTTAAAATTATTACTAACAACTCTACTGTTAAGTTTTGGATGAGAATCATTAAGACGAATTTCCAGAACTCTCCCTGAGGTTTGGTCAAATTCAAAATTCGCCTCCCGAACTATCTGAGGTGACACACGATCCTTGGGTTATGACTTGGTAGTGAAAGCACTTGTTCTAGTAAGCTCAATCTAGTTTTTGAATGAATCTCTTTAATCCGTCTAAAAATATTGATGTTTTTCCAGAATGTTATCGAACTACGATTCAAGATGATGAGAAGGAATCTATGAAGTTGTTGCTCATATGTGGTTTGGATGCAGTGCTCACGTCTCTTCAAGTGCATGCGATTGACTCCGGCTGCGGACTGGGAGTCATCCAATGGATGATTTCGACATTCAATCTTGATTATCCTGAGTACTGATGATGAGGCGAATTAAATGTTAATGGCGTTATATAGTAAATACAAAAATTAAAAAAAAAAAAGGGAAACAAACCAGGAACTTGAATCTAAAAGTGTATATAAAGAGGAGCATAAATACTCACTTTTCTAACCCTCCCAATTTTGTTTTTGTTTTTGTTTTTTATTTTCACAAATCCCAATTCCCAAAGTCCGTGGATTTAGAGGAATCTTGAATTTGTTATATTTGATCATTAGAATCGGGATAAATATGGGAGTCACCTAGGCCTCCTTTATTTCACCGATTTGAGTTTTCAGTTTTAAGTTTCTATAGTAAAAAATTCTTAGAAAATATCACATCTAATTTTTTCTGCTATAGTAAAAAGTTTTCAAAAAATATTATATCTCAACTCGAATTAAAAACTCAAATCCATGAAGTGAATGAAGTCCTAGTAAATCTCTAATTTATTGCTATTTACTAAAACATAAATTATAGTAAACAATAGATTTTTAAGACTAAATTAAGTAAATAACATATTTTAAAATATTTAAAATAAGTAGTAATAAAAAAGATTTTTATCTCATAAATTTTATATTTAAAATTTGATTTACATGGTAAAAAGAGTTTTTATCAAGTAAATTTTCTTTTTACAATTGAATTTACTGTTATTTATTTTAAATAATTTTAAAATTTATTATTTATTTTATTTATTTACTCAAATATGCTATTTACTTGGTTCTCCCCTGCTAAAATTTCCCAAAATTTTGGCTTTACTTCTCTCCCTGTTGTTTATGCATTGGATCAGTCGATTCGCTTCTTTTGGGTCGTTAAACGGGCCAGGCTTAATCCACCCCAAGCTCTAACTGGGCCTCTAGTGGGCTTAGACTCCACGTGTAATCATTTGAGTCCGTGTCACCAAGCTTTCCATTTTCACGGCCTAGGGTTTTTCCGTCTCTCAGCCTCAGCTCAAATCCTATATAATGGAAAGAAAACCCTAAACTCCTCTTTCTCTACCACAGAGAGAGAGAGAGAGAGCGTCAGAGACCTCAGAAACCTTACCGTCTTCTCTGTTTCTCAGAAATGGTTACTTTCAGGGTAAGCCGCTAATCACTCTTCCTCAGATCTCCGTCTTTTCTGATAATCTCTGTTTGTTTCCCGAGAAAATGGAAATCTTTCAGTACTTTTTGCCGATCGAGCTTTCCTTTTCCTATGTTCTGAATTTCTTTTCCTTTCAGATGATTTTAGTGTTTTGAAATGGCTTTGATTTTGGTTTCGTTGCGCAGTTTCACCAGTACCAGGTTGTGGGAAGGGCTCTCCCGTCGGAGACCGATGAGCACCCCAAGATTTACCGCATGAAGCTCTGGGCCACCAACGAGGTTCGCGCCAAGTCCAAGTTCTGGTAAGAGGAGCGATTTAGTCTCGATCTTATTGATTGATTTGTGTTTTTCGCTCGTTTTTGGGTTTTTGATTTTTTTGGTGTTCTGTTCATGAATTTGGATTTAGGTATTTTCTGAGGAAGCTGAAGAAGGTTAAGAAGAGCAACGGACAGGTTCTTGCTATTAATGAGGTAATATTTATTTTTGAAATGATATTTTTATTTGCTCATTTTTCTTGTGTTATGTGGTAAAATAGTTGTTCCTTTTAAAGCGATGTTGAACATGAATCGAATTATTGGAAATATCAGATTGTTATATTTATTTATACCACGATCTTGTAACCGGTGTTGTTGTAGCTAATGTATCGGAGGGTGGAATTTGCTGGATATGAAAAAAAAGAGATGATTCATTTTGTGTTTTATCTCTTAGACATTCTTTTATTGGTGTTTAATACATGTGAAATTGTGGGAAGTGTGAGAATTTCCCGAGTTAGTGGAATGAACTTTCAATTTCATTTTCTGGGTCCTTGCTATCATAGTTGATCTGATCATGGTTGTGGTGTTCCTTTATCTACATTTTGCTCAGGTCCATCTGTTTTACCACTTGCATATCTCTCTTTACATTGTTGTCTCTGGGGTCTGGACTCTGCAGAACTTATAATATGAGGAAAGAGTTTAATATTGGTAAATCCTGTATTGACCTTGGATAAATTAAGATCTAAAATCCCAATTCTACTTCACAATTGTAGCCGGGCTTTAACAAATGATCTATTTCAAGAAGCTGATTTGTAAAATCATATGTTGTCCTCTGGCTAGTGACAGTGCGCCATTTTTTAGTGTGTTCTCAATTCTCATCGTTGAGTCTAGACTCTAGAATTTAGACAGGAAAGTAAGTTTTATATTCACGCAAAATCATGTGTTTTTATATTCAAGCAAAATCATGTGTTGATTGTTTTTTATTTGTGGTTTTGTAATTAATTATCATTTGGTTTGGCCCTTTTGTTGGTATGAAATTTCTCAACAAATTTATCATATTTTCTTGCAGATTTTTGAGAAGAACCCCACCAAAATTGATAATTATGGTATTTGGCTGCGATATCAGAGCCGAACTGGGTACCATAATATGTACAAGGAGTTCCGTGACACCACTCTAAATGGTGCCGTGGAGCAGATGTACAATGAAATGGCTTCTCGCCACAGAGTTAGGTTCCCATGCATCCAGATTATCAAGACTGCAACTGTCCCTGCCAAGCTTTGCAAGAGAGAGAGCACAAAACAATTCCACAACTCGAAGATCAAGTTCCCATTGGTGTACAATAAGGTCAGGCCACCAACTAGGAAGCTAAAGACCACATACAAGGCATCAAGGCCCAACTTGTTTATGTAACTTGGTCATTTGACGATCAAGCAAGCTTTTAAGAGAAGTTAAAGTGAGCTATTTCTGGATCTTTTTTGGTAGAAACCTTTTTTTTTGTGGTCCCTTTTTGTTATTTTATCGGATATTTTGTTATTTGAGCATCTTTGAATCTCAAGTTGGTTTAGTTTAAAGGTTTCAACATTCTTGTTTGCTTACTACAATTCATTGCTCGATTATGGTTGTCGTTTGATTCAGTTGTGAGTTCGTATTAAACCTATTATCATCTAGATTTTTGCTCCTATTATTATTATTATTATTATTTTTTGTCGTAGTGTGTTATAGGTAAGTTTAGTCCGTTATCTTGTCTGTTATCATAGTGAAGTGAAGTGATGATTCCATGATCTTAACATGGCTGATTTCTTGCTGAAGATATGTTGGAAGAGCGACAAATTCATAAACCAATGGTGGGATTTTGGTCTCTAGACACAAAGCCTAGGAGCTTGACAACATTCTTGTGGCTGTGTTGGCTATGTTTCATTCACACACACGCGCATATCTAAAGCATTTGTTTTATATTCAAATGAAAAAAGTCACAATTAAGCAGAACATGTTACATACTTATTGGTAGAAAACAACACAACATCAATTCAGAAGCACATCTATGTAGGCTTTCAGAACAAGTGGACAACTATTGTATGGAAATCCTGCTATAATTGGATTCATAACATCTTCACATCTAAAGGGTGTATTTTAAAACATTTAGGTGAGAGAAACTGATGGCTCCGTATCATACCCCATAACATCGTAGGTAGTATATTCCACTAGCTCATACGAGCTACGATCGTGCTTGACATTCTCATGGCTGCTACTAGACGATTCATCAAGCAATCGCTTGGACTCTTCACTGTTTTTCAGAGCCTTATAGTTTCCATGATTGAGCTTATTCAGCCTTGCAAGCTCCTCCGCCACTTCTTTCATTGATGGCCTTTTAATGCCACTACTCTCCAAACATCTTGTTGCAAGCTCAGCCACGGCCTCTATTTGGTCCATCTCATCTTCATCACGAAAAACCATCGAGTCCAAGATTGTATCCACACAATTATTGCGATTTTCTTTAACTTTCGCAACAAAGTACTGAACAATGTTACTTTTCAGTCCAGTTCTCCCATTTGAGATTGGTTTCTCTCCTGTTATGAGCTCCACAATAACAACACCAAAGCTATACACATCGCTCTTTGTGGTCAAAGTGCCCGTGTTAAGATACTTGGGATCTAAGTACCCCAAAGTCCCCTGCACTGTGGTGGCTATGCCAGTTTGCCCTGGTGGAATAAAAACTGAAGCTCCGAAATCGGAGACTTTTGCAGTGTAATTTTCATCTAAGAGAATGTTTGTGGACTTGACATCTCTATGAATGATCGGCGGGTGTGCCAGAGAATGCAAGTAGTCAAGTGCTAGCGCAGTTTCTGCGGCGATTCTCAAACGGGTTCTCCACGATCTTAACATGGGCGATCTCTTGCTGTGGATGTGTTGGAAAAGCGTCCCCTGGGATACAAATTCATAAACCAAAAGTGGGATTTTGGTCTCTAAACATAAGCCTAAGAGTTTGACAACATTCTTATGGTTAACTTGCGAAACGGTGGCTATTTCTTCGTGAAATTGCTGGTGGTTTATTTGGATTTTTTCTCTTCCTTTGGCTTCTTGACCGCTACTAGCGTAGAATCATGATCCATTAAAACTCCCTTGTAAACTGAAGCAAAACCACCTCTGCCAAGGAGTTGATTTTCATTGTAATTGTTGGTTGCTTTGGCCAACTCTGCCTTGCTGAAAATTCTGACTCTTTGGTTCTTTAACACCAAACCCCCATTTTCTTTGAATATTTTCTCTCGTTTTCTCCTCTTACAATCATAGAAAATGAGTAAAGCAATAATCACAAGGAAAACGCTGGCTCCAATAACTGTGCGCAACAAAAACGACGGAAACAAGTCAAAACTCTAAATTTGAAGACCAATAATTATCAAACTGATGATAAAGCAAATAATAACTATATAAAATGCTTCTGTTGTGCATACATATTCATTATATCAGTATATATGTATATATATTATATGAAAATATCTCGTCACAATTGATCCACTAACTATAAAATGTAATGAGGCATTCCCTTTATTAAAGAAAAGGAATTTCAAGATATGAAAAATTATTTAAAAAAATAAAAAAGAGGCAGGTCATTCAAAGTTATAAATCAATCTATATATTAAGAAAACATACATGTGGCAATTGTTGTAACACGAAATCCTTGACAACCAACTTTACCATCGCCCCGCATCCCCAGAGGGCATTTGCATTCGTAGTCTCCAATCGTATTTTTGCATTTTCCTTCACAACGGTATGTTTCCGGCCAATTGCACTCGTCAATATCTAGAAGAAAAAAAGTACGTGATTAAGTATTTAAATACTACCGAAGTTAAACACTATTAACTAAGATGAAATTATATTTTCAAACCTACTTTTAATTAGTGTATAGTGTGTTCAGTAACACTAGTGTTCCTTAAGATTGTTTCATTAATCTATATCCTATATCCTTAGAGATAAATTAACGAAAAGATAAAAAATAAAAATAAAAAGCTTAGGGTACACTGGAGGTGAGCATTCCAACTAATACAAAGTAGGTATTCCACCTTAAGTGAAATTATATAAAGAGTCATTTTAAAAAACTATATTCACTTTTATGTTTTTGAAATATATGATTTTGTTTTCTAAACTGTAAAATTATGATTAAAATTTCGGATTCAAAACTTGCTAATACATATCTTACATTTAAATGATCATTTGACTAATCAATTTAATATTTTCTATTACATTGTGGATTTTAGGTATGAATATATCTTATTATACTATCATCATACTCCTAATTCATATGTTTCAGCTACTAAATTTTCGCATTTAATCGGATTCTTTTTATTGCTAATTAGAAACTGATCACGAGCTCCTCTCTATGATTCAATAAAATTTTGTGTTCTTAAGTTTTTTTCTCTTAAATTCCTCATTTTCGGATTAATATTTTCATAATTTATGTTAGACAAAATCAAAACTTCTATCCAAACAAGACAATAGATATAAAATATGATATGAATTTCAAACACGAAATTAAGAATAATAAAACCAGTAGAAAATTATTCAAATATTGAACGAAAAACCTTCAAGTTGTACTATTGGAATAATTTTTTTTTTAAATAGCGGTGGAATGACTGTTGAGATGGAAGGAATGTGAAATCAGGAATGAAAAAGTTGTATTGTTGGAGATTGTTTTTCTTTTAAGAGGAGAAGAAATCTGGGTGTCTCGAGGAAATTAAAAAATATCAATGTCTTAAATGAAGAAAATTAAGTGGCAATGATATATAAAATATTAGTAGTAATAACTATTTCTTGGAATTATGCTCTTTTTTTATTACAATCTTTTATTTCCCCAAAATAACTATTTCTTAGGATTATGCTCTTTCTGGATTACAATCTTTTTATTTCCTTAAAACGCAATTAAATGTTAGAAGATTTACTACAATACACATAAAAAATATACAAACTAATATTCTTTTCTAAAAAAAAAAAAGGGAGAAATAAAAAAATCCAGCAAGATGAGGTCTTGGCTCATTGGGGACCTAAGGCAAGGGCCTTAGTGGCCTTACCCTTGAGCCGCCTATGCTCCCATATTGCAAAATCTACCTTTTAATATTAGTGTGTGGTGAGCATCGATACTCTATAGCATTGTTCATTAAAAGACAATCCATATAATTACAAAACACACAAAAGAGAAAGACGAATGATATATTTGCACACACATAATCATGCATTATATTACTATTATTATCAGTTTACCTTGGCAGCCATGTTTGAGATACGGATTCCCCCTAAATCCTTCTAAGCACCGGCAACGATATCCGAGGGCGTTGTCGGAGTATGAGCAATCAGTATTTTCGCCGCAGGCATACTCCGATTTGGTACTCATTTTCGCTTCCTCAACATTTTTCCTCTCCCACCATCCAATCTAGCAGAACGCTCGGGTTCTCGACAGTTTCCGGCCGAAAATCAAGCCGCATATTCGAGATGTTGAAAGTCCTCTGGTCCACCAAGAAGGCAAACCCGCAAGGGTTGAATGTCAAAACGTCGCTTTGGTTAGGCGAGGTAATGAGCGTTATCTCAAGCGACTTGAGATTCTTCGGCAGCGATGTCTGGCAGCAGCCGATGCCCGAGCACGAGCCCTCAGCAGCCAGATCGACCTTGTCGCTGCAAAGGGAGATACAACCACTCCCGAACTTGCCATCTGCGTCATTCATGAAGGCGAGCGTGTCGCAGCCGAGGCCGATCAGCTTGTTCTCGGAGCTGGAGAACGTGTAAGGGTTCTTATTTCCCAAGGTAATATTCTGGTCGAAAGAGGCCGTCAAACTGGACTCGTTGTAGCACTTGTAGGCGCTATCGATGCTAACACTCATCGTACCATTCTCCACCGATATATCGAGAACCTCAATGTTTTCTCCAAGAATGAGTTTAGGGGGAGAGAAGCTGCGGTTGCATGTGAGCAAGAATTCTTTATCCTTGGCGCAGTCTTTGTCGTCGATTCCAAAAGGGTAAGGAACTTTTAGTTTCCCACATGTTCCGTTGCAACGCGGGGACTTCACGTCGGAAGTACTGTTATTTGTCGCCGCAACAGCTATGCAAATTGATGGCAACAATAATAGAAGCACTACGCCGCAGTAATTCTGTAGTTTTACGAGTATTTTGTTGTTTATCTTTGCCATCACGTAGCTATAGCTAGTATTACCACTCTTTTAATTTTTGAAGCCTTCTCTTTTGGCTATGTGCATATATAGGCAAATTGAGCGTATACATATGCTCAGATCACCTGTTGTTCTAATTTTTTGCTGGTATTTTTTATCTTTTAATTGGTATCTAATCTAATCAATTAGATTATGCAACTCAGGAATTAAGGTATGATAAAAGTTAATTAAAAAACATTTTAAACTTTTAAAATAAAGTGGCATAATGTGATTAGTTAACATAATTTTAAACATTGAATATGAAACATGAGGTGACCTGAGTTGACCTGAGTCAGGTCAATATATAGAGTATGTCATGGGTTGCTTGGAATATATCAAGGCAATACCATTTGTTCCAAAATGAATCTCTATGATTGCTAATTGTTCT